TTTTCCATGCAATCAACTGGTATTTTTAACATGGGGATGTCCTACGAGATGGTAATTGTCAGATTTCGGTCAGAAATATACCAGTCTCATACTAGTTGAAAATATACAGAAAAATTCTAGTCCAATTATTGATCGAACCCACTACCTTGGGAGTCAAAAAATAAAATGAATTCATGAATATACAATAAAGAACGTTTGATTATATACTCTTTAATATATTACACATTTTTATTAAGCATCCTTAGATTTGCCAATAATTAGTGTTAAATTTTGTGAGTATTAATTAAAAGTAAAAATAAATACATAAATATTTCAAATTTTCGAACATAAATTTAAATGCATTTTTCATTAAATATCATTAAAAATAAAAACTTTCAGGTACAATAAATACTATATTTTTATCTTTTTTAATGTTAAATATGCAAAACAAAACCGTTTAGTTAAAAACAAAATAAATACTTTAGTTCATTTTCGAGTGAACTTAAATAAAAACAAGTAAGAGCAGCGCTGTCTTCGGCAATGCCTAAGGCTTCATACCTTTCATGAAAATGAAATGATTTGAAAATTTTACTTTAACAGATTACTGCATTTGAAAAAATGTATATATTCACAGCATACATAGATAGAGGAGGTAAATATATAAAAAATCATATCTAAACAATCAGAGGTATGGAAGATATACCTTATATAGCAACAATTTAAGTGATTTTCATTGCTGTGTGATCGCGGTATGTAAACCGGTATAACAATTTAATGGGTTTAGTTAGCTTCCTACATAAAGGAGATATACCGCAAAAACTGGTATCTGAACAATCAGTGGCATAAGAAATAAAACTTATACAGCATAGATTTTGACGATTTTATCAGTAGACTTTGTATTATTATTTATAAAATAGCTTACGAAATTTATCGGTTTTAGCTGTCCAAATAAAGGAGTTTTACAGTAAAACCCCATATCTGAACAATCAGTTGTATGGAGGCAATAAATATGTTATAGTGACCCTTTTTGTTAATTTTTCTGTAAACTTTCTGTTGATAATGAGTGAAAATAATGCGAAATTTCATGTTTCTAACTGCATATATAGAGAAGTTATAAAAAAGAATCTCATATCTGAACAATCAGTTGTATGAAGGCTATAGGTTATAGCGACCCGATCTTTGTAATTTTCACTCTAAGTTTTAATAAGTGGAAAATGGGTGGAAGTATTGCAAAGTTTCATGTTCCTAGCTGCATAAATGGAGAAGTTATAACGAAAAATCTCATATCTGAACAATCAGTTGTATGGGATCTATATGTTATAGTCGTCCGATTCTTCCGGTTCCGACAAATGATTAATACTTTATAAAAATACACTCACCCACATACCAAATTTCATCCGGATATCTCGAAAATTGAGAGACAAGATTGCATACAAACAGATGGACAGACGGACTCAGCTCGACATTCTAATCATTTATGTCTACATTTTAATGGGTCTATATCTTCTTCTTCTAGTACTTACAAACATCGGACCAAAGTTATATTACCATTTTATGCTCATGAAAGGTATAATAAAAGTTTTCATTTAATTAAATTAAATTCAGTTAAACAAATACAATTGGAATTAATCAAATTAGTATATTGATCGTGTAATTAAAAAAAGTCAGAAATAATTGAAAATGGTCAAAAATAACAAAATAATCTTGTAATTAAAATTAATGAATTAATTAACAATTTTTAATTAACTATTATTCATTAATCATTAAGAAGGTGCTAATATTGGTATTTAATTATTAAACGGTAATCCAAAAAAACATGCTTTAATTAATAATCATTATGATTATTAATCGATATTTAACAGGTCTGGTATAAATGAATATGTACTCGCTTTATACCCAAATAAAAGTTATATATTTTGTGTACTTTATTGTATTAAACTGTAAGTCAAATAAAACCGGACATGAATATATCCTTTTGTACAAGTCTGGTAATTTTCGAAGTATGTAATTCGGTTTCAGTCAGAAAATTCTAGTTTCGAACTAGTATTTTTTCTGACTAGTTCGGGGTTTCACTGCAGGGTAAATACATATCTACATTAGACTGCATCACCAAAAAAAGTTGTGGTTTTTCCTTCGGGATTACCAAATTTATTATATTTTAAGACGTCCACCAAAAGATTTCGGAAAAATATTAAGATTTATGTGAACTGCACCGATTTGAAAATACCTCGAAAAATGGAGTTTTTTATGAATAAAAATAGTGTCTTGAAGGACTTTTTGAAAAGGTCCCCTCAGATAACAAAACACATTAAGCTTAAAAAATCTGCATACAAATATTTATTATTTAAACAGAATCGTAATAATGAGATTTGATGCTTTTTTTTCTTTTTTTCAGAGATTGCTTTACGAAAAACTTGAAAAACTGGGCCAAAACTATTCTCATTTAGACTTATGGGATCTCAGTAGAAAGGTATTTTCCCACTGTTTTTATTCTGTCCCAAAAAAAGTCATTCGTGTCCCAATATTTTTTTTTTTCAAATACCAACACATCCTAAACAACTTTGAATTACTTTCGTTAATCCTACTTTTCTCTTTCATCCTTTGAATGAGTTTATTCCTTTCCAATGACACCTCACAAGTCTAGATCGGAATAGTTTAGGTTCAGTTATTCAAGTTTTTCTTATGCTAATCGGCCGCTGTGGTGTAGTGGTAAGCAGTGCGCGCTTCCACTCCGCAGGACCCGGGTTCAAACCCTGGTCAAAGCAACATCGCAAAAAAAAAATATAGAAAAAAAAGGTTTTTTCTTAACAGCGGTCGTCCGTCGGCAGGCAATGGCAAACCTCCGATTGTATTTCTGCCATGAAAAACAGCTTCTCATAAAAATACAATCGCCGTTCGGAGTCGGCGTAAAACTGTCGGTCCCTCCGCTTTGTGTGACAATATCAAGGCGCTCGCCACAAGTCGGAGGAGAAGCTCGGCCAAACACTAACATATGTGTAAGCGCCAATCTATTATTATTATTAATCTTTGAAAAAAGTTAAAAAACAGCATCAAAATTCTCATTTTTACGATTCCGTTGAATATATTTTTATGCAAATTTTTTAAGCTCAAACCGTTTTGTTATTGGAGGAGGCTTTACAAAATATTTTTTTATTGTCACTTTTATTTCAACATAGATTGATTAAAGGAAAAATACTGATAAAAATAAAATATTTCACACAAACAGGGATGTAATTTTGAAATTCCTGCCCGTATTTTGTTTGTAGGTCAAATATTAGTGGCATTGTGCTACTATGAAAGCACGGCCGAGTAATCATAGTCAACTTATGTACAGTAGTCGAAAAAATTATAGCAGCACAAATTTTGACAAGTATTAAAATATTATTTTTGTTGTTATTTAATTTTGGTTATTTTTTTATAGTTCATTCTTTACCAACATCCGTATAAATACAAGTTAAAACGCAGTGTCACACGATAGGAAATTTTCCGAAAGCAAGTCGTATCCCAATGTGTGAATACCCAAATATTTTTCTTTTCCCAATCACGAAAAATAATTTGTTGAAATTTTTCAATACAAGATTGCTGTATCTATTGTACCAAGCTTTTGACTACAAAAAAAAATTGTTCCAATTTTTTTATTTTGTACCAATAGCCCAATATAAAAATGCACAAGTCTGTACAAATGTACCAATCGAGTGACACTGCCTTAAAAATTTATGCAATTAAAAAAAATTTCAACGAATTTTCGTAAAAATGTTGAGTTTTTAATTCGATTCTGAGTATGCAGTTTTGTAGCCCATTGAATTCTAGTAGAATAAAGTACAAGATTCAAATGGCTAAAAATTACGGTCGATTTTATAGAATTTTTAAAAAAGCTCGAAATTTGTACCAAAGTTTGTTGAATTTTCTTAGTATTGCACAAAGTAGGTAGCTTGGATTTACACTTTTTTTTTAAAGAAAAAAAAAACCAAAATTAAATAACAACAAAAATAATCCGCTAAGATTTGGCAAAAAGTGGTTCGGCTATAATACTTTGACCACTCAGAACACCTACAACCACCCCCCAATAATGTAGTCAGTCGTTATTCCACACTACCGCTAGAGTGTAATTAGTGTAAGCCCTTTACTAATTTGAAGTATTCTTTAGGCCAAAATATTTTGCGTGATTCCGATTTCTTTGGCAGTACTGTAAACTGCTCATTCATTATCTGTGCTAATCATAAGTTTGATAAGAACATCAAACTTCCTTCATACAAATGTAGTATATCGAATGCTTGTATAGAATATAACCTATCTGCAGTTTTCACAAAAGTGAGATTCCTACATAAAAATCCACCTTAGACTTAATTGTCATCGATTATGTTTATGCTAACCTTGTATATCGTTTTTAGTAGAACTAACTAATGAATTTCTAAGTTGAAATTGCAATCAGTGATGAAAGTTAAGTTTCAGATGGGTTATAACTTCAAAAAGTAGCTTTTGTGAAAACTGGAGATAGGTGGTATTGAATATAAGCCCTCGATATACATAGTGTATGTACATAAATATATACCAAGTAAAAAACGAATCCATCGTTAATATTATTTATGGCCAATATATGAGATTTAACCATTTAGCCTTATGTACTCGCATACATACTTCAATTGTAAGCCTTTAGTTTCTGCAGGGCTATTGCCCCACATTTAGTATGAATTGTGCAATCCGCGAATTACATTTCAGTTACCTGTCTTCGAAATAGATAAATCGCTTTAGACATGTATCGACGTGTTGAATATAAAGTAATTTGGTAAAAATGCCTTTGTTTTTATTTAATTTTAATTTCATATCTTCTAGTTTGACTCCTTCCTTTTTTAATGTACATAAATATGTTTATATTGATAAGTCCTTTGTGTTGATTGCTTGTGCATAGAAAAAAACCTTCTTAATATTAGTATTTGTGATTGTATTTTTAAACATTTATAATTTTAAAATTGTTACTTTTATTTTTATTTTATTTTTGCTTTTATGGTAAATTCTTGTAGGATAAAAAATATTGAAAACGTATCAAGTCACGCGAACGGCGATGAAAAAGATGAAGAAGAGGAAGAAAAAGAAATTTTTAATGATGCCAACAGGTAGGTATTGTTGCATTTGGTCGAAAGCGCACCTCTGTACTTTGCTCCTCCGCTGCAATGAAATCACAAAATTAAGCTCATTTAAAATTTTAAAATTAAAGTTGCCGCAATTTTAAAAATAATTATTTTTCTAAAAATAACTTTTGATATTGCACTCACCCACCATTTGCATACTTGAAAATTTTGCATGCACTGTTTTTCAATTAAATGTTTTGCACTTTTCGTTCCTCTTAGCCAATGACTCTTTCAAGTTGTTTCACAGATTGTTATTATCATTCACAGGAGAGAATCTGTTACCGAGGATGCAGCAGCAGTACAGGTCAATAAACTAAAAGTAATTAAAGAAGGCAGCGAAGAAAACAAGACATTTGACTCCACGGCTACTAAAATAGAGACAGGTGGAACAAATTTAGCCTCAAGCAACGTTTCTGCAGTCGACTGTGCTGATACGCTATTGCCAGATAAAGCAATATCAACCACAACCCAAGAAGAGCTTGACGATCAAGCAGCTGCGCAAGTGCAAACAACCACGTCTGCTGAACTCAATGAATGCATAGCAAATACATCTAAGCCAAGTATTGTTCCTGTAACAGTTGAAAGCCAGCGCGGCGACGCTGATAGCGCCGAGACTGATAACCGGGACTTAGCTGGAGCAAGCGCAACCGACGGACTATCATCTAAAGCATCAATTTTTGACGATACTCCTCTTAGTCGCAATAACTCCACCGGTTTGGAAAAGAACAAATTATCAAAAACACCGTCCTTTTCAAAAATATCCAGCAGCTTACAGAGCTCGCTTGGCGCTCTTAGCGGCAATCGCCCAGATGAGGTGAGTTTAGTCAAGTGCTGTAATTCGTTGGAATTAGATATATGTGGCGAGCGCGCGTGTGTGGCGAATGAGTGAATCGGTGCGATTGTGTGACCTTAAAGAATTTACATACAAGGGAAACAGTTGTAATATAAAATCAAAACAAAAAAATAAATTTTTTAAACGACATGGGTTTGGTCATGAGTTGGATGCTAATATCCGCTGTTTACGAACAGTTAACCTATCGGTATGAGCAGGTAAAGTGAAGTAAATTTCTTGTTTTTAATTGTTGTACTTTTTATTGTTTCTTTAACCACATAACCTGCTTGACAAAGCCGTTGAATACGTATATATGTACATACATATATACATACTATAAAGCAACTCCGATTCAATATTAATAGGTTGTCTATTTTCTCATTTCAAGAAGTATTTAGTCGTATGGGTAAGCTTATTCGTTTTAGAATTTTAATGAACAAATACTTCTGCAGATAAGCAATAATCGAACGTTGGAACTATGACGCTTGAGAAAAAATTGAATTGTTGCCTACCTTCCGCAGTTAATAAATGCTCATTATCATAGTGCTGATAAAAAGCTCGTTTTATGGATTTTATTTGTAAATGTATATATCGTCGTTGTTTGTAAACGTTGGAGCTTTCATTGATAAGAATTGTTTATTTACTTTTCGTTCTCCTTTACATTGCTCTTTCATACATACTACACTTGTAGATACATAAGTATCTATGTATGCACATAAAATCTTCTCTTCGGTTTGCTCATTTTGACCTAGAATAAATCTGGTTAATTATTTTAGAACTTGTTTTTTTTTGACTGTATAAATTTTTGTGCTCTCCGAGCGATCCACAGTTGAATACATACGCATATGCTGTCAGTACATTATACAACCGAGAACGTACATACATATACAGTGGTGGCAGAAATAATAGAAACTTTTTATTTTGACCAGTTTTGGCTATATTACTTTTGTTTATACGGTGTTTAATATTTTTTTATAAAAGTCTACCGCATTATATAGGCAATTCTCAATTCCCATGACAGCCGGTTCTACGTACTGGAATGACTCGGGTTTTACCCGACCAAGGGCTGTTGTTTCGGCGATCTAATCCCGTTTAGGTCGGCGAAGTATCTCAGAAGTTGTTCGTCCATAGGGCTACATTCGCTACGTTTTCTTCTACTCAGGGCTAGCATCGAGTCAAACCCAGGCCCAGAAACCTACACCTGCTGTGTATGCCAGAGACGACTACACCACAACTCCACCTCAGTCAAGTGCAATGCTTGCGAGGGGTGGAGTCACCTCAGAGTCAGCTCAAGACTACGGACACATCGGCATTGGCCACGTCGTTTGTGGCCCCCTACTGCTCAAACAGAGTAGCCTCCACGGCTTACCCCAGTCCACCTAAGCAGTCCCACACCAACACCACAGCACAACAACATAACACAATAGACCACACCACAACCGCACCAGACCACAGACCACAGAACACACACAACCGCACCACCACCCACAAGCCGCCGCCAACAACTCTTGGTTCCTCCTACAATCGGCACGGTATGGCAGACCAGGATATTCCGTAATGTGACATCAGTCAAGTGCAACACCTGCCTTGGCCGGTGCCACTTTAGGGCAAGTTCAGGTCTGCGCACCACGCGTGACTGGACGAGGAACTTCGAGGGCCCGTGCTGCGCAGCACGGTCGCAAACCTCAACCGCGACGCCACGGCAACCACCTCAGCAGCGCACACAGCCGATGGCGACACGACCACACACATCTCTCACACCCCGCATTACCACACGTCTCCCGAATCTCATGAAGCTCCTTCAATTTAACTGCAACGGGCTACAGAGCAAGATCGAGGAGATAACCGTCTTTATGGGAAGGCATGGTATACTGATAGCTGCGGTCCAAGAGACGAAGTTGCACAACAATTCAACATTGTTGAACTGCGCCGAGATCGCGAGCGAGATAATGGTGGTGGCTTAGCGTTCATCACGCACCACACCGTGCAGTATCGTCTTATCGAAGCAGACATCGACCGCAGGGATACCACCCTAGAATGTCAGGGCATTGCTATCCGGTCAGGCAATGTTGAGCTCGAAATATTCAACGTTTATATACCCCCTGTCACCTGCTGCCCGGCAGGTTATCACCCAGACATACGGCGATCCTCAGAGATGAAAACCGAATGGTAGTAGGTGACTTTAATGCGCACCACGATCTTTGGCACTCAAGCCTGTCAAACGATCGTAGGGGAACCGATTTGGCTGAGCAGATAGACGATTCGACATTCTGCACAATGAACGACGACGCACCCACCCGGATTATGGGCAGCTGCTGCAGCTCGCCAGACATAACAATAGTCAGCGCTGGTCTGATAAACAGCATATCATGGCGACTTATGGTGACCTTGACATCAGACCATCTGCCCATAGTCATCGCGATCGATAAACCAACCGACTTTGCTTCCGCGGAGCATCGAACCTATATCAACTTCTCCAAAGCTAATTGGATAGGCTTCGCGCAATTTACTGAAAACACCTTCGCTGCTCTCCCCACACCAACCGACGTCCACCTTCGTGAACGTAAGTTCCGCAGGGCTGTCACCGCTGCTGCAGCTCGCTTCGTACCGGCAGGATGCATCACGGACCCACATCCAAATTTCCCTGCCGAAGCGGCTGTTCTAGCCGATGAGCGTGACAGCCTTCGTCAGGCCGATCCCGGAGATCCCCGTATCAGGGATCTCAACGCGGATATTCGGCAACTAGTGTACGTACATAAGTGGAAGAATTGGGAAGAACAACTGAAGACCTGTAACTTCACCTCTGATGTGAGTAAGCTTTGGTTAACCATGAGGTCACGAAGCACGACGACAGAGTCGAAATTTCTTTCGGCGACCATGCCTCGTCTGACCCGGAGCGATGCGCGAGCTACTTTAGCCGGCAGTTCATACTGCATCCTCTGGTGGACAAAACCAAGCGTCGAGTGACCAGAAGGCTGCACAAACTGCCAACAAATTGTGCCCCCCTTGCTTTCACCTGCGGCGAAGATCTGGTGGCCATCGGAAAGGCGTAAGCCTCCAAGGCCATGGGTCCCGACGGAATATGCATGCTGATGCTGAAAAATTTGGGTCCTGCGGGAGTAGCGGATTTCCTCAATTTGTCTATGGCCACTCTCATCATCCCAGACATATGAAAGGTGGGGAGAGTGGTCCCACTGCTCAAACCGGGGAAACCCGCCAACAAAGGAGATTCGTATCGACCGATAACACTCCATTCCCCGGTAGCGAAGACACTTGAGGCCCTGCTGCTCCCGTATTTCGCGAACCACCTGACCCCAGCGAAGCATCAGCATGGTTTCCGTAAAGTGCACAGTACAACAACAGCACTTAACGCTATAAACACTCAGATACCTCGTGGCCTTAACCGTAACCGTCCCTGTGAGAGAACGATTCTGGTAGCGTTCGACCTGTCAAAGGCTTTTGACACCGGTGGTCGGTAAATTATCTGAGTGGTCGACACACGTCGGTAATGTTAGAGACAAATCGAGCAAACTTAGAATAAATGGAACATAACAATGCTCAAATCAAAATAAAATTATAGTTTAAAAAACTAAACCTCGCTTTTATAATTTGCATTCGTACTGTCATCAGGTACGAGAATAGAAATCGCTGCATCTTTTAGGCGTATCCATATTACATAGTTACATCCCGAGCTAATAAAAGGGAGGTAAAAATAAAACGGGGTTCCACAGGGTGGTGTCCTTTCCCCGCTACTGTTCAACTTTTACATTTCAAAGCTCCCCCAACCACCAGAAGGAGTCTCGATTGTCTCCTACGCCGACGATTGCTCGATCATGGCGAATGGGAATGGAATTGATGACCTGTGTTCGAAAGTAAACGGATATCTCTCCGATCTTTCTCGCTTCTTCACTGCAAAGTGTCTAGCCCTCCCCCCCTACGAAATCCTCTGCGACCTTGTTCACCACCTGGACGAAGGAGGTCAGGCTACCGCTAGGAATACACGTCGATGATACACCAATTCCCACGGAAAATAACCCCAAAATACTCGGAGTAACATTCGACAGCCTGCTCTCATTCTCTGCGCACGCAACCGCTATTGTCAACAAAGTACAGAGCCGCAACAAAGTCCTCAAGTCGCTAGCCGGCAGTACCTGGGGCAAAGACAAAGAAACGTTGCTGGCAACATACAAGGCAATAGGCCGGCCGGTTTTAAACTACGCAGCACGAGTGTGGTCGCCGGGGACTAGTAGGACGCAGTGGATGAAGCTACAGACAGCACAAAACACAGCACTCAGGACAGCGACCGGATGCCTCCTGATGTCACCAGAACACCACCTCCATGATAAGGCGAAAATGCTCCCAATTAGGGAGCACAACACGATGCTCTGCAAGCAGTTTCTGGTTGGGAGCCACAGATGTGGCCACCCAAACAGACAGCTGATTGCAGAGGAGACCTCGCCATATGAACTGACGGACGAAGTCCAGAGGTTCATTAAGCAGCCTCTGGACCCGTCAGCTTACCGACAGGCCCTGAACGGCACCCAGTCTCGAGATATGTAGACTCTAGACCTGTGAATGCCGTCCTAGGCACACAAACACCGCACATTGACGCGACGGAGCTCCATCGGCTTCGGGAGACTAGGACAACAATAGGCCATCTGCGCTCTGGCTACTGCAGCAGGCTAAACTCCTACCTGAGTAGGCTAAATGCGGATGTGCCGAATGAATGTGCGGCATTCGGAGAGACCCCTCACGACTCGAAACATCTCTTCGCATGCCCGGAAAACCCTACAGCTACACTTTCATAAAAAAAATAATAAACATTAAATAAACTAAAGAAAAATAGCCAAAACTTACTAAAATGTCGCGTCACATTTTTTGTTTGGTTCACTGTATGTGTATCTCGGTAACTGATTTATCAATTTGCACCAAATATTTTGAAAGTTTTCGATATCGGACTAAAATTACGCCCACTTTGATTG